CGAACCGGAGACAGGGTGGGCTCACCTGCCAGATAACAGTCGCAATCCTGTGCTCCAACTGATCCTCCACGTTACTCTGAAAGTCTGAAAACAGCGTGGTGACGTTACAGGCGCACGATGACGTCAAGTTATCCGGTCCGAGAGGAGAGGGAAACGGCTCCATCAGGGACAGATTCCCGCCAGTCCCTGGTAAACCGCCGGCCAAACCCGGCTTGTTGTGTTCGCTGTCATTGGACGTGACGTCTCGACGCACCGCTGCCATGACAACTTTCAGCGTCTCCTCCATTTTGTTTATGACGTCAAGTATAATTTATCACAAGGTCTTCTAACACCATGGTAGACGTGGTTTCGGACACGCTGTTGTGGTATGGGTCAGGAAACTAATACTATACTTTCATTAGCACGGCGCTGTCAGCGATTGTGGTTCTTTCAGCTTACTTGATGTCGCAATTGACGTCAGAATAAAGAGAAAGTGTTAAGTAGTTTTTTTCTTATCTTTCCTTCTTTTGCATTTTTACCTTCACGTAAGCTGGTCAGGCACCCCGACTCTAAAATAATCGACATGTCCAATCCGCCATTCTTCTTTAACAGGTTTTTAATGTACAACGCCTGTAACTGGTAACAATAGCACATATTATTTCTTCACGTCTAGTATTTCCAACCACAGAGATACGAAGCGGTGGTTCTTTGCACTCTTGCTTGGTGACAAGTCACAGTCTATTAATCTAGTTCATTAGTTCTTTGGTTTCTTGTCAACAATAGGAGCTATAACAAATAGTACCAAACTAATAATATCGAACGTTTTGCAATATATATTTTTTAATAACCCAACGTCCCAACATAAGACAGCTTGTTATGTGGCTGATTAATCCGTCCGGAATCGTTTCACTCTCCTTTCTTTGTAATTTTTACTTGCATTAATGATGATATGGTCTGTCACTCAAAAAATAAAGCAGACGATTCAGGAGATCACAATTTGTCTTCAATCGTCGTGAAAGTCTGTTACAAACGTCAGAGTTGACAGTCTCCTTGAGTCTCGGTTTCTGTTGATAGGAAAATAGAAAACATTATGATAGAAATAATCGCCATAGAAAAGTAATTCGTTTTACAAACAATAAAGCGCGAACACCTCGGATAAAGTAGTTTTGTTTTATCTAAGA